AGAAGGCCAAGCCTAGCTTGGGTCACAGAGAGACTGTGCTACAAAAACAACTCAAAAAACAAACCCCAACAAACAAATAAACAAGGTTTGTTTTACCCCAATCCTTCCAGCACCCTGATCTGGGAGAAATTATCTTCTTTATGATTTAGTCAACAAGACAGCCGCGGGGGCAGGGTTAGAGCAGATGGCTCATCAGGTGTGGGTGCTTACTGCTAGGCCTGACAGCTTCAGTGTGATTCTGGGGCCCAATGGCTGAAGACAGAACCAACTCTGGAAGATTGACCTCTGACCTCCAGACAAGCACCATGGTGCACAAGCCCTCATGTGTACACACACACACACACACACACACACACACACACACACACACACACACACACACACTCACACTCACTCACTTTCAAAAATACAAGACAGAGGTGGGAATGTGGTCAGAAAGGCAGACGGCACTGGGCAGCAGCTGGGCACAGGCTGACCTCCACACAGAGATAACCACGTTATCCCTCTGAACCAGGGCTGGGCTGCGGCTCAGGCTGTGACACAGGTCACGGCAGATGCACACGACAGACACCAGCCTGCTCCCTCCCAGGGCCAGTACAAAATACCCTGTGTCCAAGTAACGACGTCAGTCCCTGGGCTCTACCTGCCTGGTGCAAAGGCTCTTTGGGGCAGAGAGGAAGCCAACGCCTGCTGTCCTCAGCCCACACTTATTCCCACTTGTCCCAAGTCACTACTGTGTCTCACTGCTCCCTCTTCCCACGTGCCTGGACACTTCCCACTAACCAACTGCCCAAGCAGAGGCTCCTTGGCCCTACAGCTGGATCTCAGTGGGAGAATGCACTGTCCAGAGTGTGACCCCCTGAAATGCGGGCTCTGCTGCTTCCACAGTGAAAGGGTCACTGACACAGCTCTCATCCTCAGCGGTGCATGGGACAAATCAGCCACAGTTGAGCTGACAATGAGGCCCGTCAACTCCCGACAAAGGCAAGGACCCACCTTTAAGAATCTCTGGGGCAGGTCGGCCTGCACTTCCCGATGATTCCATCCAAAGCTCTCCCAGGGAGGGGCGGGACTTTGTGAGCTGTGGGATGCAGCTGGGGCACACATTCTTGCCCAAAGTTTCCTCTTGGGAATCGGGCTTAAGACTGTTCGCGGCAGCCAGGGAAGGACTCCAGGATGCCCAGTTCCCAACACTGACAGAAAAGCAATTGGGTGGACATCATCACCCAGCGTTCCCGGGGCAGGGGCCTCCAGATCTTTGCACTCTGGCCTCCTAACTTTAACTAGTTCTGTCACACAGGCAACAGGAAAGCACCTGCAGCGACCGACGGTGCAAGAACTTCCAAGAGCATCCTGTTCTTCCCCAGCCTCCATGGCGGTGGGGATTTCCTGTCCTGCCACATCAGTGGTCCCGACAGCAGCCCACCAGGCACCCTGAAGACAGCACAGGGGGGCTCCAGACACTGCCCTACTCCGGGGTCCCACGACCTCTCTCCTTTTCTGCTCATGGTTTGTGTGTCAGGTCACTCTCCATGAATGTCTTGTCACACGTCAACGTTGCCTCTTTCCTGCCTCGATGGTCATTTCAATTCATGCTGACCCTCAACACAGTTCATTCAGCCAAAATAGGAATTAGGGGATGTAAGCACCAGCCTAGAGCAGAGACCTCTCAGTCATGTGGCACCTACACTGGGGTCCTAGCTGTTTCCTGCTGGCTGTGAGACACTGTGCGAGGCAAGCAGCCCCTCAGAACTTCCGTTTCTTCACCTACAGGCAACTACTCAAAAATAGCCTCCTCACTTGGTCAAGGACTTCACAATTCAATGTCTACTTCAAGAACCAGTCAACCTGTGCTCTCAAGTCATAATATAAATGTTTATTCACACACCTCTTCTTTGTTTACTAATATTTTGTGTGAGTGTGCATATGTATACCTGAGTATAATATCTGCATATAAGTATACTAGGAGGACAGAACAAGGTGTTGGATCCCCTAGAACTGGAGGACAGGGTGGTGTGAGCTGTTCAATATGGATTCCTCTACAAGAGCAGGAAACACTTTTAACTACTGAGTCATCTTCTCCAGTCCCCTTATGCTTTTCATACCTTTAATCCCAGCACTTGGGAAGGGGAGGCAGGTGGATCTCCGAGTTTGAGGCCAGCATGGTCTACAGAGTGAGTTCCAGGATAGTTGAGCTACACAGAGAAACCCTGTCTTGAAAAACCAAAGCTAAATAAGAAAAATTAGGAAAATAAAAATTGTATGGTGTACATGTGGAGGCCAGTGAACGATGTGGAAGTTGGTTTTGTCCTTCTACTATGTGGTTTCTGGGATGTCAGGTTTGGCAGCAAGGACCTTAACCATCGAAGACTGCCATACACATGCTTTGTTAAATCTCATCACTACACAGACGTCTACTTGTATCCATTTTAGTTTCTCAAGCAAGCGCGCCTGTGGGGTGTGTGTGTGTGTGTGTGTGTGTGTATCTTTATATGTGGCCTGCAGAATTGGGCCACAAGAGGGAATCTCTGGAGACTGAAGATAAGGATGGCCGTGAGCTGCTATGTGGGTGCTAAGAATTGAACCTGGTCCTCTGGAGGAGCTCTTGACCCCGAGCCATCTCTCCAGCCCCTTAGTATCGTGTTCTCAAAGCCATCTGTGACTGTTCCATCCAATCCTGCCTCCACTGCCCATACCTCACACTGGGAGCTCTCCACGCCACCCACTGTCCATGCTGTGTCTCCGTCAGTGTTTCCTAGCCTCCCCTGACCTTGGTGAATCCCCTTCCTCCACCCCTGCTTCACCAACTCCCCACGGTAAATCCCACTACTGACCCATCTGCTGGCCACTGCAACCTTGACTCTGACTTGCTCTCTCCACTTGCTTTGGGGGCACAGATTCCCACTCTATTCCTCGGGCTCTGACTGTACAGCCAACTGTCCTGCACAGGGCAGATAGGTCATTACTCACTGACCACTCCTGTGTTGCTCCCAAGGAGGTGGAGTCAACAGAAAACCTAGCCAGCAGCTTCGTATTGTTTTCTGAGTAAAATGTTGCTTGGGTTAAAAACAACAACAGATGCCCTAATTTCTCTTAAGATTCAAATTTCACATTATTTGTCTATTTTTTAAAGTTTTATTTATTTATTATGTATACAGTGTTTTGCCTGCATATCAGAAGAGGATGGTTGTGAGCCACCATGTGGTTGCTGGGAATTGAACTCAGGACCTCTGGAAGAGCAGTCAGTGCTCTTAACCTCTGAGCCATCTCTCCAACCCCTTATTTGTCTATTTTATCCAAGTCCTCCTGGATATAATCTCTGCTGGTTTTAATATATTTATTCAGTGTGTGAGACACGGCACACGTGTGACAGTCAAAAGATAGCTGCGTTTCCTCCTCCAGGGTGCGGTCTTGGGTCAATCAGCATGCATCTTCACCCACCGAGTCATCTCACGAGCTGAGAAACTGCTTTTATTTACATTAAAAAAAAAGATTAAACGATTTATGTGTAAGCCAGGCATGCTAATGCACGCCTTTAATCCCAGCACTTGGGAGGCAGAGGCGGAGGCAGAGACAGATGGATCTCTGTGAGTTTGAGGTCAGCATGCTCTACAGAGTGAGTTCTAGGACAGCCAGAGCTACACTGAGAAATCTTGTCTTGATAAACCAATAAATAAATAAAGAAGTAAACAAACTTCTTACGTGTTATGCATGTGCACCATGTGAATGTCTGGCATCTATGGAGGTTAGAAGAGGGTGCTGGATTCCCTGGAACTGCGTTACAGATGATTCCTGAGTTACCATGTGGGTGCTGGGTCCTCTGCAAATGCAGCCAGTACTCTTAATGACTAAGCCATCTCTTCAGTTACTTTTAAATAGTGGGGATAGTATGAGCCCACCAATTAAATGCAGCAGGGCCCAGCGGGATCTTAGGCTGGCAGAAGACAGTCCTCCACCTATCTTGTGAATGTGTGGTTAGGCACTGGCACTGGTTAAGAAGCACCAGTCTCTGAAGAAGATGGTCCACAGCTAGAAATGTCGTCAGTTCCTTAGCCAGGAACACCTGAGAGCAATCATGCTCAGTAGCAGGCCCAGCTGGGTAAACAGCATCCTGTCCTGAAGACAATTGAGTGTCCCAGCAGCTCTGCCAACTTCCATCTCCCCACTAATCTCAGCTGCATCGTCTCCACTGCAACCCGGTACACTGGCCAGGGATGGCTGCTCTACCTGCCATAATGGACACACTCTGGAGGGGTCGAATTTAAGGGAAAAAGACAATATTCTGGGTTTAGGGTGTGGTCCAGTTGGTAAGGTGCTTGCCCAGTGTGCAGGAGGCCTTCTGTCCTCAGCATGCATGGAAAGAGACTTGGTGGCTGTCTGTGAATCAATGTCTGTAGAGGCTCAAGACCATCCTCCACAGCTATATTGCAAGTCTGAGGCTGATCTAGGCAAGAGACCCTGTCTCAAACTAAAAAGAAAAATGTAAAAGAAAATTCACTTCAATATTAAGATGTAGAGTCTTGGCTAGTTTCCTTGACCAGGCCTGTAACCCCAATACTTGGGAGGCACAGACAGGAGAATCCTGGCCCTAAAAAACAAAATGGAATCTTTCCTTAATGCAGGCAAGTCACTGGCTGATGTACTTTTCTTACATCCTAGAAGCTAACGTGGCTGGCTGACAAGTCTCTGCAGTGACCACCCCATCAATCAGCAAGTCAAATCCGCACCGTCACACAGCACCAGTCTACCCTGACTGCCAACCCACAAGTGCATTTGAACCCCAAGGCTGAATGCCAACATGCAGCACAGATGGACCTGGGACAGTACTGGACACGTGGCTGAGCCATGACAACAACTCTAGCTGTGAACTCAGAGCAAAGCAGCAGGCAGCAGCCACCCTTACCTGAACAGAGGAAACCCTGCTCAACTGGCTAGAGAGAAATGGAGGAACACAGCAACTCAAACACCTAACGTGTCTCAACAGCCACAATATCTGAAACTGCAGTCGATGCCCTTTATTTCTCTCTCATATGCGCAGAGTCAAAATGTCACTCTGAGCCACTCTAGGCTGCAGGGGATAAAGTCAAGAGCCACAGCAAACAGAAAAGACATCAGCAAGGTAAGTGACAGAGTAGTCAAAGCCAACAACATTTTAGGATAAAATAATTGAGCCTGGCCTTTTACTCAGGGGGAAAAATCGCCTAACCCAAGAAAACAGGGCAGGAGCCCACTGCAGGGGTGCTGCGATGATGCAAGCTCAGTACACGCCTGCCCTGAAAGCACGGCTAATGGTATTTTGACAGTTTTAAAAATAATAACGGTAAAGAGCCTCGGTTTTCAACGCCCAAATCAGCGCGGACAGAAGTAAATTACACATGTGGATGAAGCAGCAGCCACAGGACACGCAGGGAGGGAGAAGGCTTTTGTCGATGCTATTGACAGCCACGTTTGCTCTGGGCAGTGGTGGTCTAGCATTCTAGGTTTGCCACACAGGAGCGTCACGGATCCCAAGGCCCACCACCTGCCCCTTCTCCAAGGGCACCTACCTTACTGTAAGTCACTACTGATAAGTTGTTTGCGTGACTGCTGGGGGACAGATTTACAGAGTTCTGTGACAGTCTATCCTGATCTTGCTCGGTTTGGTCAGGAGCAGGAGCCCATGTATTTTTGCTGATCGAGTCGAACCCGGAACCCCCAGGGTCTTTTAAGTTGTTTTCATCTGATTGTCGGTTCTTTTGGGGAGAGGCAAACGGGTTGAAGTTTCCTTCTACCTTGCGATGTGGCTGTGTGTTGAATTCCGTCTCAAAAGATGACAGCTGCTGCGTTACTCCTAAAAGTCCACCCACCTCCACACTGAGAATCACCCAGATGACATCTGAAACAAAAAGGCAGCTCATATCAATGCCAGGCATACCCTTGGCCCAGGGTAACCACCACCGAAAACCCAAATCCTATCCAAACCAGAGAAAGTCATTCTCCACAGCCCGTTCTTTGAAATGTATGTACAGCATGTGCTTCTCAGTCTTTGATGGAGCCAAGGGGAAGCTCTGGTGCAGCTCTGGGCTGGGAGCCACAAAGCTGCAAGGAAGGCTTCTCAGGTGACGGAGATGTCTGGGAATCACTACCCAGAGAGCAAGCAGAACCAGAGTGCTCCAACTTACAGAGTGCTCTTTGTGGCTTCATTTCACTTCACTGTTGAAATTTCCATGAAGACAGAATTTTTAAAGCTAAAATTGCTTACTTTTTGTTATGACTAGAACCGCAACTCACTTAACCTTACCGACTTGGGAGGCAATTTAGAATGGCCAAAAAGAGAAGCTACAGCAAAAAGCATTATAAATAATTGAATAAGGACGTCCATGCAAAGCAGCACTAACTAGACACAGGATAGCACGCTTTCTAGCAAGTACCCTGAAGGTTCAGATCAGCCTAGTTTTCCAGGGTAACCCAATCCATCGCCAGCTCTGTTCTGTAACGCAGGAAGACGTGACTACACTAACCCATTAGGTTATTTCTTTTTTAAAAAGATGTGCTTATTTTATTTTGTGCATATGAATGTTTTGCCTTTCTATCTGTGTACCACATGTGTGCAGTGCCCTCAGAGGCCAGAAGAGGGTGCTGGATTCCCTGGAACTGCATTGTAGACAATTGTGAGTAGTGGGTTTTCTGAGAATCCAACCTGTTTCCTCTTCAAGCAGCCAATGTTCTTAATCACTGTGCCCTATCTCCAGTCCTTAAGTTCTTTTTTAGAAAAAAAATGTACAGACTGGACAGTGGTGGATGCCTTCAATCACAGGCCAGTGAGACCACTGAACCTGAGTAGACCAATGCCAGAAGATGCCCTTTCTGACCTCTTCACTGTCAAACACAAAGTAAAGAAGCCGTCCCCTTTGATGCTGAAAACACACTGGCTCCCACACAGCTGCTGAAAAACTATGGAAGGCAACTCCACGTTACACTTCAGCCAAGCAGAACATAGGGAGGGAGGCTAGAATACAGACCTGGAAGGACAGGGAGGAACTGAGGCCCATCCCCAGTTGCTCACTGGGGTCCCATGAGAAGAGTGCCACACTGCCATGCCCATTTAATGCTTTGGGAGCTGTACTTACACCTGGCCAGTTAGGAGCTGGGCACAGGAAGCAGAGCTGCAGTGACACCTGCTGATCATGTATGGAACTGGCAATTCTATTCCTGAGAAAAGGATTCCACAACCAACTACACACACTAGCAAAGCTCACTTCACAGTATCCCAGGCAAACAATCCAGACACATAAAGAAACTACATGTTCCGTGCTTTTAATTCTAGCATTTAGGAGGCAGATGCAGGCAGGTTTGAGGCCAGTCTGGTCTACATAGTGAATTTCATGACAGCCAGTGCTATTAGAGACCCTGTCTCAAAACAACAACTACTATGTACTCATGCTAACTACTACCATAAAATGTGTTTCTAAGATAGGGGGTCTCACTATGTATGTATACCCCGACTGGGCTCAAGTTCATGGCTATTCTCTGACCTTAGTCTCCTTCCCAGGAAGTGGAGCAACTATGTTCAATTATGACATCTCAGATAAGGCATGCCATTCCACACCTTCCTATGCTAGCTTTCTAGCTAAAGTGAATGTGTCCTGTGTGTGTGTCTGATTGAGTATAGAAGCCCATGGGAGCTCCCATTTCGTGAGTCAGGGTGGCATTTAAAATGTTTAGTTTTCTGCAATGAACTGTGACCATTTCTAACAGTGATCTTGAAGGTCTCCAGGATGATGATGGGGCCCTGTAATGACAAATCCACCTAGACTGTGGCAATGCCATTAAGATGACAACCACCACCCAAAGATCAGTTTCAGACTACAAACTGCTCAGGACAACCTCAAAGCGGTTAGCTAAGATGGTGTAGCCTCGCGGGGCGGTGGTGGCACACACCTTTAATCCCAGCACTCGGGAGGCAGAGGCAGGCGGATCTCTGTGAGTTCGAGGCCGGGCTGGACTGACAGCCTCCAAAACAATACAGAGAAACCCTGTCTCGTAAAACCAAAAAAAAAAAAAAAGAAAAACCTCTGTATGGGTTTGGTAGCTACTGGGCAAGAAACTGTCCTGACCTTGACTGCAGACAGTGTGCCATCAAAATTGGAATTGCAGGACACAAAGGAAGTTGAGTGCTGAACTTTGCCAAGACAAGGTACGACAGTCCTTCAAAATTTCTGCTTCACAGAAGTCTGTCAGACATTCTAGGCCAAAATGGATGCTCCAGCACTGCAGAGGAAACTTGGGTGACTGTCCAGACAGCCAGCTATCATTTCTGTAGTTTTGGAAGCTGTTTGTTCTGCACTTCCTGCTAACTCAGGCAATATTTTATCCTTCTCAGGTCTCTGATGGGGTTGAAGATGGTTATAGTTTTCCTTGTTACCAAATTCAGAAAAGAAACTTACAAGAGATGCAAAGTTTATAAGGTTGAGAAACACAAAAGCTTAAGCTGTTTATCTAAGAAAATGTTTTAAGGTCTAAAAAGATATTTTAGGTTGGTAATACAAGTTATGATGGAAACGATTTCAGATTTAAAACTTTGGACTCACCAAGACAGGATAGATAATAGAGTAATTTCTCTGAATTTGTCAAATACAAATGGACTGGATATTGTGAATGCAATTTTTACCTGATAATTAATTGTTCTTACTGTATATAGTTTTTTTTTTTTCCGAGTCAGGGTTTCTCTGTATTGTTTTGGAGCCTGTCCTGGAACTCGCTCGGTAGACCAGGCTTGGTCTCGAACTCACAGAGATCCACCTACCTCTGCCTCCTGAGCGCTGGGATTAAAGGCGTGCTCCACCACCGCCCGGCCTGTATATAGTTTTAACTGTGTTAAAGTTAAAAACCCTTTCCTTTTTATTTAGACAAAAAAAGGTGAAATATGGTGTGACGATGTCTGTTTTACCTCACTTGTCTAAGGTACCTTCTGATTGGTTTAATAAAGAGCTGAATGGTCAACATCTAGGCAGGAGAGGAGAGGTGGGACTTCCATGGAGAGAGAGGAAGGGGTGGGACTTCCATGGGGAGAGAGGAAGGGGTGGGACTTCCATGGGGAGAGAGGAAGGGGTGGGACTTCCTTGGAGAGAGAGGAAGGGGTGGGCTTCCATGGGGAGAGAGGAAGGGGGGGTAGGGTCGGTACTGAGGAGAGGTAGCGAGCCACGCAGCAGAACACAGGTTAACACAAACAGGTAGTTAGTTGGGAACAAAAGCAAGCAAGTCCAAGCTTTCACAATTAATAAAAAGTCTCCTTGTCATTGGTCAGGAGTTAGTGATCCAAATAATTCCAGCTACAAGGGTTTCCCACTGGCCCTGGAGCTCACTGATTGGATAGAATGAGGATGATCAACCAGCACGCTCGGCATCCCTCTGTCTCTGCTCACCACTGCTGGGGTCATAGGCACAAGTCACCACACCCGTTTGTTTGTTTGTTTGTTTGTTTGTTTTAAACCTGGTCACAGCAAGAACTTTACTCACTGAGCCATCTCCCCAGGTGTCCCACCTCATAGTACAAGTGTCCCTACTTCCCATCTTCCACCTGTCTGAGTTGAGATCTACTCTAAGGAGCAGCTAAGCTCAGCACCCTCAGATGCAGGCCACACGCCTCACTCTCACAGCTCAGGAGAGAAATGCTTTGAGAGCAAAGGCCGTCCTCGTTAGGAGACTATTGACACTCCCTCCTCTGGCTTTGAGAACCAAGCATCTCCTGTGCCACCTCTTTGCCTTGGCTTTTGGTCTGATTCTGCAAGTAGCTCTGCATGGAAGGCTGGCCCCTGAGGCGGCACTAATGGAAACAGTTGAGGCCCACCGTGGGTGGCATGGACAGGAGGCTTTTATGGAACAGTTTTATTGTCTGGGTAAAACATCCAGGCCTCCTGATTCAGAAAGAATTCGTTCCTGCACAAGTACAAGAGGAAGGCAAAGATGCCCCAATAAGCTGGCCATCCCAAGTCTTGTCTGAATGTCTTGATCACTGACCTAAGAACTAAGTGGCTGGAGATGAAGCTCAGTAGGTAGTGTTTGCCTAGCATGCAGAGTCCCGAGTTAGACTCCCAGTACTATCAAAATGGGATTAAAAATTAATCTAAAAAACCCTATAAACCAGAGACTGTATTTGCTAATATAAAAGCCAATTTCCTTGAAGATCACCCAAATAAACTACTATAGTGAAAAGATGTCACTCTTGAGGACCTGGGGTCTAGAGGTGAGAGTGAGTGACAGCCAAGGGCAGACTTGGAGCTGGAGGCTACATGGGACCTCTAGTATGGAACATACGGCTCTTCCAACTCACAGCAGGATGTGGGAGCCCAGCACCAAAGAACTAAAGCTAGAGTTACATCAGTTCCACTTCAGGCCTTTGTGTCTTTACACACCAACATATGACCTTTCACACAGTAACTAGGATAAACCAAGAAGTACTGGAAAAATATCCAAGAAGGTAAACTCAAATGCCAAGTAGCCAGGACTCAGTAACCAACAGTGACAAACAGCTTGTGAACATCTGGTTTGACAGCAATCTTCTTGGAGGATCTGAGTCAGAGCCTCCAGAGCTGGAAGACACTGTAGGTGCGTTTTATCAGGGAGCAAACTGCTGCAGAGGCACATGCTGCTGGTAAAGTATAAACTCTCTTCTGTAGAAATACCTAAAGGAACCCTGAAACTGGCCAGCAGCAGACAGTGAGAAGTGTAGATAAAGGAAATGCCCAGCTTGACGCTCACTGTGCTAATGCATTTCACCAGCACATAAAGACATCTTAGAAAACAGAAGCAAGCCGGGCGTTGGTGGTGCACGCCTTTAATCCCAGCACTCGGGAGGCAGAGGCAGGTGGATTTCTGTGAGTTCAAGGCCAGCCT